TCGCCTTCACTAGTCTATTCAGATGCAAATGGATTTAGGCTCTACGTTGGTTCAATTATTCATGCAAACAATGTACCAACACTGCAAGAGATTGGCATAACTCGTATTGTTAATATGGCGGCCACTGATTCTGTTGCTACCTCATCATCAAAGAGTCAAGATTTTGAGACATTGTTGATTGGTGCATCAGATTTGAAGTCTTATGATCTCTCTCAGCATTTTGATGAAGTAACGGATTTTATTGATAAAGGGAAGGAGGAAGGAGCTGGAGTGTTTGTTCACTGTATGGCTGGAGTGAGTAGATCAGTCACTGTATCTGTTGCTTTCTTAATGAAATAGTAAGAATAATATTGAGCATGTGAGAATTTGAATTGTTTTACGCTACCTTCAATTATACCTTCAAGTGTAAACAGGGGTAGAAAAATTAATTTTGATTATTTCCAAGGTGCATTTTTTTATTACTTTCTTTTTAGTTGTGGTATGTCTTTGAGTGATGCTGCTCGTCAAGTGCGTAGTCACAGGCTACAAGCCTATCCTAATGTAAGATTTATAAAGAGCTTACTGCAACTGGAAAAACAATTGAAACAGAAAAAGAAATGACTTTTATATTCTTATTCAGACAATGTTCATGTGATTTTTATGCCATTAATGAAGATTTTTAAGTATTAATAGTTTTATAAAACAAGCGTCCTAAGTTTTGTGCGTTCAGAAATTGCTGCACATAGTCACTTGCCATTCGCAGGGGTGTAGGCAGCATTTTTGGAATGAGGAGGCAAGCTGTGTGGCTTGCAAAGCATGCTGGGAAATTTTACGAAACCACACCATTTTGACGTGTGGCCACACCTCTTTTTAAGCATAGCAAACTTCTTAAACGATCATAGGTGACATTGAATACTTTTCACCTTTATAATGGCATCATAGAAAGACTGATTTAGCCTTTCCCTTTTATATGTTGTAGAACAGCTTTTCTTTCCAAAAGCAGCTTGTTATTTTATTATTTTAAAATTTTGATTTTAAAAGGGGGGGGGCATTGGCCCCTTGCCCCCTGGCTATGCCCCTGATTTAGAATGACGAGTTCATGTTGCAGTGACAGGTTACTAAAGACACATAGACATTGTCAATTTTCACCTTTAACAATACCCTGTGGTGTAACATTCAGCATAGTAGAGCTGTTGGATACTCTCCCTATTATCATGTACTCTTGCTTATACTCTACAGTGAATTAGATGGTTTACTTTCATGGTGACTACTGTCAACAAGAACATGATCACAAAATAATTTGAGTCGGAAGGGTCGTGCTTGAGGCCTAAAGTGAAACTGATTGTGGACTTAACTCTTCAACTCTCAAAGAATGGGGTTCCTTATAAATTTTGCTGCGAACTGTATTTTCTTGCTTTTCTTTACCAGTTTTGGTGTTAAATCTGATTCTATCATTATCAGTAGTAGCCATCAATTGGAAGAGCTACTGTGCACTGGTAAATCCTATGAAAACGACACAGTCCTCCTCCTTGACACTAGTATCACTCATGAAATCACTCCAGGTAAATATTGCACTGTTAAAATCAGTCACTCTCTTACTATTGCCAGTCATTCAAATGATAATCTTGCACTAATTAACTGTACATTAAGTAAAAGAGTGAAGCATGATCATGAGAGGACAAGTGGCTTTGCTTTTTATGGTACGAATGGGTCATTAACAATGAGAGGCCTCAGTTTTATTAGCTGTGGCACTAATTTTACAACCATAGATAGTAGCATAATCAAATCTACTTCTCGTGTTTGCTTTACAAAAGATCATGCTGCTGCTCTGATATTTGCCAGTATTCCTAGGCTTTTAGTAGTCAATGTATCTTTTTCTGACTACCATGGGTTTGCGATTGTATCTTTAAATCTTCAAAATGCTTCATTTAATTCAC